CTCAGACAGCCATGCTTCTCCGAGGAACAGCTGTTCAGCCCAGATCTGTTTAGACTGACTGAGGGTGCTGTTTGCTTGATCCTTGTGGTATTTTCATCAAGTCACAGACGTGTTATTAAGAACCATGGTGACTTTTGAAAACGGGGTGTATCATGTTACATTTAAGAAGTTTTGGTACTTAATATTGAAACCTCCTCTAAAACTACTATTAGGTGACTATAAGGGTCCATGTAAAGCCAACTCTGGTACTTTTGGATAACTTTGATAGGAATCATCAGCATCAAATTACCTTTACTGGTGTAGATGTAAATTCTTGTTTTTAAAAAACCCCATTAAATCAGACTCCAACAGCAGTTGGACTGGACAGCTGACGTGAATTTCAAGCAGGTAAAGAAGCGTCTTTGCATCACTAAACATATGGGCCAGCGCTGCCTTCAAGAGAAAATACGAAGCATGCACCGGCCCGAGCGAAAACACTGTTTCATTGCACATGAACGAACCGTGAACCGGATAGCTGACTTGCAGAAACGTGAAAGCGAAGCCGTGCTCTCGTGCCAACAGCTGGAGTGAAACTGATGATCCTGCTTATGGTTACGATGTTGTCTCTGTTTCAGGCATATTTGATCTAAAATCACTTGAATTATTCACAAGATGTATTTATAGCTCCCAAAGAAGGATGTAGGGTTTCAGGAGGAGAGCACTTGGTGGTCGAGTGAAGGGAGAAGAGTCGGAAACTTCTGCACTTCACCCAAATTCACGGCTCTCTTGACGCTGGAGCAATAATGAGGTGAGAGAGTCAACAGTTCTCTCTCATATTGCAAAGTGGACAAGCATCAGTAATTACAGGTCTTCACTCTGTCATGGAGGTCCACGAGCCAGCGTTGGACACTATGCACACAGACGTGGACACATTCGACAGGCCGGAGCTGCAGAAGACAGACAGAGGGAGCTTCAAGTGGACAGATTAATGTGCATCACAGCGGGAGTCTGCCTGCTGCGGTGTGATTGTTGAATTTAGAATAGCAGTGTGATTGGCTCAGAGGTGGCCAGAGGACTGGACTGAAAGATGGAGAACTCATCAGGCAAAGGTTAATTTAATACCACGGGGCATGATTAGTTTCAAGTTTAAACACTCCCACACTCCTGCACACTGCTGCTCTCTTTATCTACAACACTATTTTCCCGAGAGTGAACATTTTCACCGCGTAGTAAAGTGGCTTAGCAGTCACAGATACCATCCTCGAGGCAAAGAACCTGGGTTCAAGCCCCGGATCAGCAAGCAGCTCTCCTGCTGAAAATGTCCTACAGCGAAACGTCGAAGCTCCACCACATTCAGAGCTGCTGTTGCGTAGCCGACCTGTGACCTCCCTGCAGAGGGAGGCGGGGAGGAGGCAAAAGGATTTCCCTTTAGGGGAGATGAACATTCACAGCATTATTTGTAGGCTGAGCTGATGACATGAAATGTGATGGTTGTTTGAGTAGAAGAGAACATTTTGTCTGGAGTTTGCTCTGAAACACTTTCTAACATTAACAGCGTGGACTACTTCCAGGTCAGGGGGAGAGAGATGGAGCCGACGGTTAAAACTGGAGGAAAACTATGTGGCAAATGTGTCACGTTCTGACACTTTTTCTTTTCCACAGTGTGGGACCAGGAGTGACAGAGCGTACAGGAGTGGGGAGGCTGAACAGCAACATGGGACGAGAAAAAGCAATAAAACGCACAGTGTAGTTGTTGCAGACGCTGCATTCATCAATGCCAGATTCTTTCCAGAACGCCATTGGCAGCGTGCAACTCGTGCACTTAAGGAAAACCAAGCAAGCTTTTCTCTGCCGTACCGTTTGTTATTACGTCCCTTACAGTCCCTCTCTGGTCATTGATTCAACCTTTAAAACTCATCTCTGTGCCTCAAACGTATGTGTTTGGAGGTTTTTTCATTGCAAATAAATCTTTTCTTGCCTTTGTGTGGATCTATGAAGTCCCGCCTCTTTCTTCATACACCCATCCCTCTACTCCTTGCAGTTCGAGCACACCAGCTCACCATCAACTCTGCTCAATCACTGTAAACTGCTCCATGATGAACAATGGCAAGTTGTGATATTTAGTCTTACATGTTGGAACCAAGGGCCAATTCTTAAGGGGATAATGGTATAAAAAGCTTCCCTCTGCAAGCTGACAGGACTGGTTGGTTCTCGGGGTTTGTCACATATGACATTTTTAAGACTGACATCAGGGCACTTCCATTTCAAGCTAGAAATACCTGATGTTCACAGCTTATTTCACTCATGATGTGTCTTCTAGCATATAAAAAACACCATATGGACATGTTAAAAAGGTAAAAGCTTCATATTCATCAGATGGGCTGTTTAAAAAAGTAATGAAGCTCAATAGAATTTAAAGAAATCACAAGTGGCCAGATAATTACGAAGGTTGAAAACAAAACCAAAACTTAGACCAACTCAGGGACAGTGAAGACCAGCAGCAAAAGTCAGATCAGACCTCATGTTCTTGCCTTATTTCTGCCTTAAATCTGGTTTACACTTATCTGATGGTCTCACTGCTTACATATCGTCGCCCCGTTGGAGATATTGTTTAGCAATGTTGCCTTATTGTAAAATCCCAGCTGTGAGTTTGGCAACACAAGTGATAATGAAGCCCAGGTTGTGTTAAACCATTGTTTACCTTTAGGTTGTGATGATGTACCGCACACCAACACAAGAGAGGTCTGAGTGCTGATTTTGCAAATGTTTTTTTTAAAAGTCTGCACCTGAGTAGCAACAGGTGGAGGCCGGGTTCATGTGGTCTAATCTCATCTTCACGGCCTCACAGAGAACTTCCAAAGTCCTACAGAGGCGAATGTATTTACAGAGAAGACCACCAACGCATTTCATGTTTTTAAGATGCTTGTACTTCTGTTTGTGCACCAGAGACGCCCGTCTGTACTTCTTCTGATCTCTGATTTTAGATTTTCAGCTCTTCTAAAGTCCCATCATCCTTGCTTTGCAGAGTGAGAAAACATTTTGAAACCAGATTAATCAAATGAGCTCAGCCCGACACATGAACTCTGTTTGTGGCTTTGGAGCTATTTACTTTTAAAAGACACAAAAAAGCAAAATAGTCTTTTTTTAGTGGCCAGATTTCCCAGTTATTCCCCAGCATTTGTCCACTGGAGACAGGAAAGCAGTCACCATTATCCTACCATTATAGTACATACAGTATGTCACAAAAGTGAGTACATGTCTGCAAATATTTGATTCTATCTTTTTGTGGGACAACACTGAAGAAATGTAAAGTAGTCAGCGTACAGCTGGTATAACTGTGTAAATTTACTGTCCCCTCAAAACAACTCACAGCCATTAATGTCTAAACTGCTGGCAACAAAAGTGAGAACACCCCTACGTGAAAATGTTCAAATTGGGGCCAATCAGCCATTTTCCCTCCTCTGTGTCACGTGACTCGTTAGTGTAACAAGGTCTCAGGTGTGAATGGGGAGCAGGTGTGTTAAATTTGCTGTTATCGCTCTCACACTCTCTCATACCGATCACTGGAAGTTTAACATGGTACCTCATGGCAAAGACCTCTCTGAGGATTGGGCGCCGCTATAGCTCACCTGGTTGAGCTGGCATGCCATGTACAGGGCTACAGTCCCAATGTGGAGGTCATGAGTTCGAATCCTGCTCATGACCCTTTCCCACATGTCTTCTCCCCATTCTTCTCCCCTACTTTCCTGTCTCTCTCTCACTACACACTACCCATAAAGGCACATAGTTACAAAAAAATAACTTAAAAAAAAAAAAAAAAAACTCTCTGAGGATCTAGCCTAGGCTATAAGAAGACTGCCAACACCCTGAAACGGAGCAGCAGCACGATGGCCAAGACCATACGGCGGTTTAACAGGACAGGTTCCACTCAGGACAGACCTCACCGGGCTGCTGCTACAGCTCACCTGGTTGAGCTGGTGACCCATGTACAGGGTCTGTAGTCTCCGATGCAGCGGCCATGGGTTCAGATCCTGCTTATGGCCCTTTGCTGCAAACCTTCCCCCACTTTCCTGTCTCTTCTTTGACTTTCCTATCTAATAAAGGCAACAAAAAAAAATAGAACAGGCCTCGCCATGGTCGACCAAAGAAGCTGAGTGGATGTGCTCAGCGTCACATCCAGAGGTCGTCTTTGGAACTCACTTTTGTGACATCTACATGTCAAAAGTGTCCATAGTACTTAGTGTATCTTTATTTTTAGCTGTATTGTACTTTTCTTGTTTTGCTTCTTCCGTTCCTCATTTGTGTCTCATTTCTGTTACATGTAAAGTTTCCCTGGTGGGTAATGGATGAAGTTTGTCTTATCTTCTCCCAATCAACCAACCAAGCTGTTGCTCTGACACACTTCCTTTCAGCTACATCGTCCCTTTTAACTCAACTCTCTTTAGATTTTGGAGATAAAGTATTTAACGAAACATTTCATTGATAAATTTCCAGCATTTTTTCTTTTTCCTCCCCACTGTGTGTGTGTGAGAGAGACTGAATGTAAATGTTCTTATGGTTACCATGGCGATGCAGCGGGCTCTTCTAATGATATTTGATGCCCCGCAGACAATCAGGCTTTTCCCAATAGAGTCCGATGTAATTGGTCCCAACAGGGGAGAAAATGAATTCAATTTAACTTTATTATTAGAATTCGTAATTTTTTAGGAAAGTTGAGAAGAAACCTGTCAGAGGAGCCTCAACGAGTCATAAATCATAAGAGAGCAAATTAGATCCTGACAGTGTGAGGAGTGCAGCTGGAGTCGGGCCTTTTCAGAAATTAATTAACAATAGAAACCTGTAAACTTGAGGGACTGTAATTGATAGCGCTTGCAGTGCGTTGTAAAAAAAAATTATTTACTCCACTTCGGTTCGTTTTCGATTTACATCTCCGGCGGTTTCTTTATTTTCCAGACTTTAATTAGGGCTAATGCCCAACATGTGACTGAATCAATTTCTGCCGTTGACGCCGGTGTATTTACCTGACTTCACTTTCTTTAATATGTCCTGCCAGTTCTTCCACAAACTTCTCTCCTTTCATCCAGTAGATGATGGGCCTCCTGTTCTCTCCGCTGTAGCCGAAGAAGGCCTTGCAGTCCAGACTGAGCGGCATCCCTGCAACGCACAACGCAGCACCGTTAGACTGTAACGCAATAACAAAAACAATGTTTGTACTGTTTTGCAGGTGAAACTTTAAAGTAAAAACACACCGATATAAACCATGATTTTACCAGAAATCCTGTGCTATGATTGTCTATTGCGAGGTGTCCAATCCTGGTCCTCGAAGGCCACAGTCCTGCATGTTTTAGATGTTTCCTTCTTCCAACACACCTGATTCAAATGATCAGCTCATCATCAAGCTCTGCAGAAGCCTGATAACGATCCTGATCATTTGAATCAGGTGTGTTGGAAGAAGGAAACATCTACAACATGCAGGATTGTGTCCCTCGAGGACCGGGATTGGACACCCCTGGTCTACTGTATTCAGCAAACTTCAGGACTAATCACTTATGCAATGCTACAGCCTGATCTGTAAGTGGCTACTATATTCTGTAAAAAGTGCAAAGTGAAAGCCAACTTTCAGACACTTCCACAGGAACCCATTGGGTTTTCCTGTGTTTAATTCTAACTTAAGTGAAAAATATCCGCTTGTATACCAAGAATTTATGAATCTACTTCATAAACCGACCGAGAAATGAGAAAAAAGACAAAATAGAGGAAATTAAAGTCAGAGCTGGAGTTTCTCTGTCAAACACACACTCTTCATACAAAGTCGTCACCGTAGCTTTATACAAGTAACGTCTGTACAATCTGGTTAGAAGAAATGATGTTTTCACTTTAAGTGCAGAAGACAGAGTCAGTAAACAAAAATGGAGAAGTTTGGTGAATTATCTTCCTCAGTCTTGCTGCCGTTTCCCCAGAGAACCAGAAAGTTACCACCTGCTTTGGATGTTTTTTTTTTATACCATTCAAAAAGTGCATCATTCGTGCAAATGTGAGCTACGAGGGACATTTTCCAACTTCTGCTGGGCTCAGTAGGCCAGCATCAGAATCAGCTTTAATGGACAAGCACGTACACCACATACAAGAAATCTGGATTCGGCTGTTGGCGTCGCCCTAGACACATCATTCATAGGTGGTGGAGCCACAATTTTACACTTTGAGAGGGAAACAAACGTCTGAAACTAAAGGAAATTCTAAATTCTCCAGACACCCTGTGCTAGGATTGTCCACCGTATTTAGAAAGCTTCCGGAACAATCGCACAGATACGATGCTACAGCCTGATCTGTAAGTAGCTGCTATGTTTTGCAAAAAGTGCAAAGCCAACTTTCCACTGGAGCCCATTGGGTTTTTCTGTTTGTCTTGATGAGCAATACGACCATCTGCGTAACCGACTGACGCATGTAACTTGTGCTATGACTTGAAGTGCTGTGTGCATCTGCTGTCCACCGTCAAAGTCCAACTTGGTTTGTGGTCAGAAGCTCCACAAACTAAAAAAAAAATTCACATTGGGTGGTAAAATGTGAAGCAAAGATGCACATAAACAAGTGGAAAAACGTCAACCTAAGTGAACAATATACACTTATATACCAAGAATTTCTGTATGTACTTCATAAACCGACAGAGAAATGAGAAAAAAGACAAAATAGAGGAAGTTAGGAGTTTCTTTGGAGTCTGTCAAACACACAAAGTCGTCACCGTAGTTTTATACAAGTCAACATCCGTACAATCTGTACAGTCGGCCATAATTTGGTGTGACAAGCTCATGCACAAACAGTCAGGCTGTCACATTTACACAGAAACTCACTCTGCTCACAGAAGGAGGTCACATCAGCACATTGGTACCCTGTGAAGACCTCAGAAGGAAACCGTTACCTCAATAACTCATTAAACAGACTGCTGGGTGGGTGACGCAATAGCTTCTGTGATTCAGTGCTTTTAATGTTGTGCTGCCGGAAGAAAGAAATCAACAACATTAGCAACAAAAACACACACGAGTGCAGACGGTATCGACGCACACACACACACACACACACACACACACACACACACACTGGTGTAAAGACCTTGAAACCCCCACCACTCTGTGATTACAGCTATCAGTGGTGATGATGGAGTATTAATGAGCATTCTAATGAGTGCTACCTCGTTAGGCAGTCAATTAGCAGATAATTATGATAGACCTCAGTATTATCATAATGATAGCTCTATCAGCACAGTCAAGAACCAACAATGAATGCTAACGTCGAGCGTGTATCTGTTTCTCCGTCGTCACGCCGAACGCTTGAACCGAAGGTCAACACCAAACACATTTGCATTTGAGACATTTGCCGAAAGTTTCACGCGGGAAACGCAGACGATTCCGAGTTCTGTCCTCGTCCTTGTGTGAGGTAATTACCGTTCTCAAAAGAACTCCCAAGTATTTAGAGCAGCAAAGGTAGCAAATCTTTTCCCAAAAACCGGTTACAGGTTGAATAAACATGAGTTTGTTTTTTTCCCCGTCAGCTGGTCATGGCAAAATGCAGCTGTTTTCATATGGAAATGTGTGATGATTGCATTATGTGTGGTGTCATTGCATCACTTATTTTGATTGATGGAGACGTGGGAGCGGGCGTAGAGGAGACAGGGGGGCTTTGACTCTTCTGTCAGTCTGAAAATTATAATTTCTAACAAGCTAAGAGAAGATGTGGTCACCAAAGCGGCGTAGGTCCGACCGTGTGTGTCGGCGGGAGGCGGACCACACACACTGCAGGAACTGGCAGAAAAAAAACGAAGCGAAACAACCAAAAAAAAAATCAGGATTAGAATGAAATTGTTTTAGCTTGATTGTGTTTGTGTGTGTGTGTGTGTGTGTGTGTGTGTGTGTGTGTGTGTGTGTGAGCTCTGCAGTAATTGATTAGCACCCCGAGGGTGTGTTTGTGTTCTCAGCATGTTATGGTGATTAAAATCATCAACTTTGTTTGCACTTGTCTGGCATCGGGGTGTGTGTAGGTTGGTGGGAGTGAGTGTGTTTGTGTGTGTGTGTGTGTGTGTGTGTGTGTGTGTCTCCCGCAATCACAAATACAAGCCCCCGAAATTCAGTCTGCATTTCATTCAGCCAAGTCATCACTTCTATTTGTGACTGCAGCAGCGGGGTGTTTGTGTGAAAAAGTCTTTAAAAAAGGTCGCTGCCGTGTTGTTGTCATTAGTATCAAAGCAACACAAACGATTGGAGGGGATTTTCTCAGGCTGGTGCATCATCATTCCACGCCGCCGCCGCCGCCGACCGTGGTCACACCTCGATGCTGTTCACTTCGGTGTGACCGCACAAAAGGAAGAAGTCGCCTCCTTTTGTGAGTTTGCAAACAACGTCGCATAACTACAAAGTCAAAACCAATCTCATTCCACTTTCTGCAACTTTCCTTCAGCCTGACAGACTTGTCTGTGTTCGTCAATGCAGCCTCCGCGGCATTCATAACACGTAGATGCACATAAAGAAGCAGCTGAATATGAGCATCAGTCCAGACTGCGCTTCGCCCTTGGTTCTTTTTTTTTTTTTTTTTTAATGCTGCTATCCAAGCATGAGGAACTGCTGGTTATCAGACATCCGCATCTGTTTTCTTCTTGTGTTTTGAGTTTTCCCATCACAGGTTCATACCGCATTCTCACTGCAAAACAGCTGTTTTCTCAGTTTGATTTGTTCCCACCAGCCAGAGTTAAGAAATACAAATTTGTCTCACAACAATCCTGCTCCTATACAATTAAACTATATTCTCATTTTCTCACCGAAAGGTAAGACTGTCATAAGAAAGTAGGGAAGGTGTCCAGAAAGGACCTTGTAAGGACGCAAGAAGATGGGAGCACGTCAGCAGCAGGAGTTCCACCCAGGAGACACTGTGGTGTTTGTGTTGTGAGACCAATTTTCTCAGGCTTAAGTTTTGTCTTCACTCGCTCTTTGGTTACGTTTAGGAAGTTATCACACTTACAAAATGACATGGTAGAAGCTTGGCGAAGTTTAGACACCAAAATTACCTGGTTAGGTTTTGGACAATAACACAGTTTGGATTAGAAGACGACCATTTCACATGTTTCACAACAAACCATGGTAAAGTAAGTTTTTTCACAGGATCGACGCAATGCATTCTGGGTGTTTTAGTCAACTTTATTATTGAAGTAATTGTTATTTATATTTAACCACCAAATAAGATTCCCTGTTCTGTAATACTGTACTGTATTTATTTCTGCTCCTTTCAGTTTTGCTTCCCTCAAGTAGAATTGTCTCTCCAACTCGTAGACTGTTCACCAGGCCTTCAGATACCAAAGTATTCCACAGACACCCCTAAATTTACTGGTTCTACGATATCATGGTAAATGGTAAATGGTCTGCACTTATATAGCGCTTTTACCCAAAGCACTTTACACTCATTCACCCATTCCATACACCAATGGTGACAGAGCTGCCATGCAAGGTGCTGCCTGCCATTGGGAGCAACTTCGGGTTCAGTGTCTTGCCCAAGGGCACTTCCACTGTGGAGGGCCGGGGATCGAACCACCAACCTTGCGATTGGAGGACAACCCGCTCTACCACCTCAGCCCCAACCGCCCCGATATCAGACCTTTTATCAATCTCAGGAAGAAACCTACAAGTGACGTAGGGGTGTTAGCAAAAAGATATCATTTCCTCTTAACAGTGGTGAAACTAATGAATATATGTGCTGTCACAACATGCATTCCTCATTGGATATATGGTTTGTTGGCTGAAATGGCAGTAAAGATATGTTGATTTGAAACATATTTGTGATATTTTCATCCTTATCATCAATTTTCATCCAAATGTGCCGTTAAATTTAGCGCTTCAGAGCATTTTAGTACCTTTCAGCTCCACTGTTTTGGTTTGAAAAGCTGCACATTGCTCTTTTGGGTTCACTGAGACCA